AAGAGTTAATGAACAAAAATTTAGAAGAAAACATAGATTTTATATATTTTCTCTTTTATACAAACATCAAAGAGAAGCTATTTACATTCTACAACTGTTACGATTGTTACGTTTGTTCCGTTTGTTACGATCATAATTTTGACGGCTTCCCTTAGTCTAAAGGACACTCGTAGTTATTTTTCGTGGAAAGGAGAATTTATTTTATGTTTAGTTGTTAATTGGTCGAAAATTATTTATTCGGAATCGGTATTACAAATGATACAAAAAATTATGGACAATCGGAAACTTTTCACTGTGTGGGAGAAAACCGATATGTTTGCTGGCTACCATATTGTTCATTACTTTAACGATACTGTAAAACCATTTGGTATATTGGTCAAGAACATTGATGAAATACTGTTTAATGACATTTCGTACGTTGAAAATCTGAATAATATACCGCCTGAAAAAACCAAAACTTTTTTGAACGAAGTTGATAAATTTATACGAGATAAACATAAACAGCAAGAGTTAGTTACTGTTATCTGGTACAACTATCCGTACAGTCAGAAAGAAATGAGAATTAGTTTATTTGGACAGAAGAATCATGTGAGACCAACAAAAAAACAATTACAGCAATTAATCAACAAACATCAGATGAAAAAATTTAAAATTCAAATGAATGAAGTACAGGTAAGAGAAGACTTTTGCATATTTTATAGTCGATATTTATGTTATTTCGTACTTCTAGCATAATCATTTAATGGACGAATGCTCACAAAAACTGAAGGAAATTGAAATTCAATACAAGCATGACAATGTGAAACTCGGAATCAGACAAAATGAATTTCAAGCACCAGTGTATCTTATCGATAAAATTAAAGAATCAATTAATAAAATGATTTTTGAAACATTCACTGTTACATTTGAAACAATATCCCACGTACCTTCTTCAGAAGAAATTTCCGACTTAAAGCAGCTAGCACAACAGCACAATTGTCACGTCGATAAAATTGACACGAAAACTGAAATAAAAGTTCTGTCAATACCAAAGGGTCTTGCAGCAGCATCACATTTGGTATCCAAACTAACAATTGAACAATCAAACGCATTTTGTTCATCAACTTTGGTCTTCCGAAAAGCATCAGTATCAACTGCTTCAATTAAAATTCACTTAGTTAGGAGTTCTCTGACAGAAATAAAGGTGAGAGCTTTAACCTCATAAAAGTTTCGTTTTAACTGAAGCTTATTTCAGCCTAATATAATTATTGTTTCTTCGGATGCTGATGCACGTAAAAAAGGCATTGATCCTGCTGATGGTACAAGGGGGAAAAAGCATACTTCTGTACTTCTCCGTACTTCTTCGTACTTCTTCGTACTTTTTTGTACTTCTCCGTACTTCTGAAGTACGAAGTACGAAATACGGGTTTTCGTATTTCGTACTTCGTACTTCAGA